AATCCCTGAAATCCACCCCAAGATTCATCCCACAAATACCTGAAATCCACCCCAAAATTCACCCCAATAATCCCTGAAATCCACCCCAAGATTCATCCCACAAATCCCTGAAATCCACCCCGAAATCCGTCCCGAAATCCCTGAAATCCACCCCAAAATTCAGCCCAAAAATCCCTTAAATCCACCCCAAAATCCCCCCCAAAATGTGTCCTGAAACCCCTGAAATCCACCCCAAAGTCCACCCCCAAAAATCACTGAAGTCTACCCCAAAATTCATCCCAAACTCCGCCCTAAAATCCACCCCAAAATCGATCCTAAAATGCCTGAAATCCATCCCAAAATCCACCCCAAAATCCCTGAAATCCACCCCAAAATCCCTGAAATCCATCCCAAAAGCCATCACGAAAATCCCCCAAATCCATCCCAAAATCCCTGAAATCCATCCCAAAACCTGTCCTGAAATCCACCCCAAAATCCCTGAAATCCATCCCAAAATCCCTGAAATCCACCCCAAACTCCATCCCAAAATCCACTCCAAAATCCCTGGAATCCATCCTAAAATTCATCCCAAAATCTGTCCCAAAAATCCACTCCAAAATGCCTGAAATCCACCCTAAGTTCCACCCTAAAATCCACCTTAAAATCCCTGAAATCCATCCCAAAACCTGTCCTGAAATCCCCCCCAAAAATCCCTGAAATCCATCCTAAAATCCTCCCCAAAATCCCTGAAATCCACCCCAAAAGCCATCACGAAAATCCCCCAAATCCATCCCAAAATCTGTCCTAAAAATCCCCAAAATCCACCCCGAAACCATCCCAAATATCCCCAAAACCCAGCCCAAAAATTCCCAAAACCCATCCTGAAAAATCAGGCTGGAGTTCCCAAAATCCATCCCAAACACCCCCAAGTTTCCCAAATTCCCAAATCCGCCCCAGATTCCCCAAATTCCCAAATCCATCCCAAATTTCCCAATTTTTCCCAATTTTTCCCCATTCCAGCGGCTCCAAGTTCCCGGTTTTCAGCATGAGCTACAACCCAGCTGAGAACGCCGTCCTGCTCTGCACCGTGAGTCCCAAAATCCCAAAGTTTTTGGGGAAAAATCCCCCAAATCCCAAATTCTGGGGAATCCTCTGCAATCCCGCTTTGTTCCGATGGAAAATCCCTCAAATTCCGCTTTTTTGGGGCAAAAAAATCCCTCAAATTCCGCTTTTTTGGGGCAAAAAAATCCCTCAAATTCCTGATTTTTTGGAGGGAAAAATCCCTCAAATTCCGCTTTTTTGGGGCAAAAAAATCCCTCAAATTCCTGATTTTTTGGAGGGAAAAATCCCTCAAATTCCTGATTTTTTGGAGGGAAAAATCCCTCAAATTCCTGTTTTTTTGGGGCAAAAAAATCCC